TTTGGTCAAAATGGTCAAGATCATTTGCTTTGTTCAGGTGTTAGATTTAAATTTAGACCAAGTAGTTATAGTACCAATGGAACAAACGTTGAACGAGGACAATTTTCCGAGTTTCTTTTTACCGTAAAATAAATGCAAGTGTTTTCCTTTTAATTTTTCAACCATAGAAACGCTTATTAACGGTTCAGGTCAAATTTCTGCGTGGAATTTATTTGAACACTCCGTTTATCAGTGAGTACACTCGTTTTTGTTTTTTTTGTTTGTTTGTTTGTTTGTTTTTTTTTATAAGAACGTCTAATTTTGGTGCTGAGGTTGAATAACGTTCTTATATTTTTTTTTGTGATTTGAGGCTGAAAACGTTCTTAAGATGTTCTTAAATTTACTTGATATACACTACTTCAATAAATCAGAGCTGAGAGAATTTAAGGTCAACTACCTTGATAATACCTAAGACTTTATATCACCTGATGACTTTGATGGTGTGGAAGTTATTTTGGAACAGTTATAAGAACTGCTGATAATTACAAACTGAGATGTTTGCCATGCAATAAGAAAACCATTGTTAATGTTATACACAACATGCCCTTAAGTATTTGGGTTAGCTTACATTTCTTGTTACCCTTATTTTATGCTTGTCATATAATACATACAGATTAGCAAAATAAAAACGTTCTTAATCGACTTTCACCCTGAGGAATGTTCTTAGTACGTTCTTAAAATTGTGGTTAATATCAGCCTCAACTTTCTTATAAATAAAGGTTCTTATAAAAAAAAAACAACAACAACAACAAAAAAAAAGAAACAACAAAAACAAAAAGAAAAGAGTATAGCTGGTTATTGTGAATGTCGAACTGAGCAAAGAGCCACTCATTTCCTAGATTCAGTTGGTCTGAAACATAAATGAACAATGTTTTTATCTATATCATTGTTGTCAAGGGAGATTTCAGATTTGTTGTAACTTGCTAATGTGAAAATGGTTTGTTATCTATGTATATCGAGAAATTGTTCTGTATAATACATTTAACTGTGGTGATGTTAATGTCACGTAATAATATTTGTACAATATCCTTTTATGGTAATAGATGTCCAACAGTAGCAATAAAATAATGAAAGAATAAAAGATGCGAATGCAGCCATACATAGTTAATAGAGGGGAATGGTTATGAAACTCGTCAAAGTTCTTTGTTGTATGTTTTTGTTCTCTTTTTTGGCTTTGACCGTGCACAAAACACAATAGTTGTTTACTCCGTACTGAGGAACTAACCAATAGAAACGTGTTGGTTACGTAAGTCATGCATAGTGTATGAGCGCAAAACAAAAGATTGTGCACGGTCGTGGACCTTCCAACATAAATCTTGGCATCTTTTTCTCCTGCTTTAAAGTTTGCCGGGCTTCATAACCAGTCCCCTCTCCTAACTATGAGCCATAACGCTACTGGAAAAATGACCTGAGAAAATTTTTGGGCTCTGAACGGGCCGGATTCGAACCCACAACCTTTGCGTCACCGGTGCAATGCTCTACCAGCTGAGCTATCAAAGCCACATGAGAGCGGTCGTGTGTGGGTTCGGCCCTATATGTTCAGTGGACGTAATACTCGGCTCAAGTCCATGGTAATAGATGTCCAACAGTAGCAATTAAATAATGAAAAAATGAAAGATGCGAATGTAGCCATAACACTACTGGAAAAATGACCTGAATTTTTTTTTTTTTGTAGAGCATTGCACCGGTAACGCAAAGGTCGTGGGTTTGAATCCCGTTCAGAGCAAAAAAATTTTTTTCAGGTCATTTTTCCAGTAGTGTTATGGCTGCATTCGCATCTTTCATTCTTTCAATATCCTTTCACTTTATGGCTGCACGAGTTGTTTTCTGTTTTTCATGTCGTTTGTTTCAAAAGCATGTATTTTCCTGACCTCAAAATTAATTGACCATTTGTTTTAACAGCTCCAAGTATCCTTTTTGAGGTGCACGCAAGAACTAGTGAAAACCGATGAACAATCAGAATTGTTGGTAAGTTTGAGTCTGAAAAACTTCAGAATCACCTAACTTCACTAACATTCAAAAGGACTGTATACTTCCTTGTCTACCTCGAGAAACATGGCATCAAGAATTTATAACTAACAGCGCTTACACTGGATGATTTAGTCAAAAGACGTAAGCCCCATTACACCTTTTTGTTGAAACATGTAATATAATAACTTCTGTGTTGAATGCTGCCAGCTTTTTGCCCCACCTCCCCCTTACGTCATCTTCTTTGAGCAACAAAGAGCCTCTTTAATTTCCCTTGCATTTTCCTCACATCTCACCAGATCACTCTAAATCACTACATACCTAAATCTATCACTAGATCACTTAATAGTAAGTTGAGAGCATCATGATAGCTTATAAGACGACACAAAGCAATTGATTGTATTCGTGTGAGACTGAAAAATGTTTAACTGCATGCAGAGTGACTGAGTTGTAGAGTCCGTGTACGTACAGAGTGAGGGTAAATTCTTTTTAAAAAGAATATACGGGCGCTCTGCCAGTCTGTACTGTAAGAGAGGGGTTTCCTCAAGGAGTACGAGTGGTTCGACAGTTTAAAAGTATAACTATTATAAAATGACAGAGTCATACAGTCAGCATACTGAAAAAAAGAAATTAAACAATAGAATCATCTAGAAAGTATAACGCACCCATTCAATCTCTGATTACTACTGGTAAATTATTCATCAGAGAGCACACTGCTAAATGCTGGGTTCTCAAAACGAGATCGGGCGCAGCCAGCGAGTGTGGACAGGTTACTGCATAAGCGGTCATATTAAATTGAAAATTGACGCTACATCTATCTTCATCAATTTTATGGGGAAATGACGCGTTTCGGTTTTAGCGTTTGTTCATCATTGATCGGAGTGAGGTTGATAGTTTTATTTGTTATGTTATTCCGAGCAAGATTAAAGTTAGCAGAACTGTACATGTAGCCTACTTAGCTT